AATACATTTCCCTCTCTTATTTTGTTATTGATAACATCAGTTTCAAATATCTAACAGGTAGAATTCACTGGAATTCACTGTTCACTGGAACAGGCTGCCCAGGGAGGTGGTGGAGTCACCATCCCTGGAAGTCTTCAAAAGACGTTTAGATGTAGAGCTTAGGGATATGGTTTAGTGGGGACTGTTAGTGTTAGGTTAGAGGTTGGACTCGATGATCTTGAGGTCTCTTCCAACCTAGAAATTCTGTGATTCTGTGATTCTGTGATTCTGTGAATTTTTCAAAGAGTTCTATAGAGAAATTTTGAATTTTATAATCCTTGTTTTGATTTGGAATGAAAGGAAACATTGAAAATGAGCATTTTCTTAAAAAAGACATTTCTGAGTTTTTACAACCTCTAGCAAACTTGAAAATCACTAATTTTTTCTCATGGATTAGTTCATGTGTTTCTCTTTGGAAAAGAATCAATGGAACTGTAATAACTGTGGTCTATACCCTAGCTTTTTTTGTTAGAGATGTATCTATAATTGAAATCTCTCATGATCGTTCATTTTTCCTTCTATGCATTGTTAGCCTGTCCTACAGAGCCATCTACTTAGACAGCATCTACTGCCCAGGTCCAGTGGTCTTTTATCCATGTGTCATGAGATGACTCAAGTTCTGGGATAATAAATCTAAATCAGAATATGTGACTTTCTGAACAAAGGAACATCAATCTCTCTCTCTCTCTTTTATTTTTATTATTTTTATTTTTATTTATTTTTATTTTTTAAATATGTTCTTCCCAGCCTTAACATTTTGTAGCTAGTATTTGTATGATTACATTTCTGTGGATGGATTCACTTTCCTAGAGCAGAGACAAATTGAATATGTGCTTGCCTGCTACAGGGCAGCTATACCCTATGTTTTCTAATCAATGTTCATCCTCTTTCTACATTTCATTTATGGGAATATATTAGAAGAGAAAAATCTTAGGAAGAGCTTAATTGCTAGAAGCACTTACTAGACTCTCCTTTTGGATTCATGTAAGTGACCACAGTAAGTTTAGAAGCGAGCTACACTGTCTGCTTTTATGTCTTTGGGAACTATTTCTGCCTGAAGAACATGTTCCTAGAGAACATTTTCCGAGGTCCTTATTCTGCAGAACTGTGTATAGCTTTCTATCCCAGCTCTTTTCAGAGAAAAACACAAAATAGAATTGACAAAACAAGTTCTGCAGAAATTCATGAGTTTTGCAATCTTTCCAATGTGCTTAAAAATGAGAATAATGGGAAAAAAAAAAAAAAAAAAAAGGATTACTTGTCACTTCAAATAAAAATGGTGTTTCTTTTCTACAGCGTCAATTTTACTTTTAAGCCAAGATTTTTAAAGTGCTCAAATACAGAAAGAATGTTTTATGCCAGGTCAAATGAGGCATCTAATCTGATCCAAGACTTTTTCTGGACTTTCTGATTTGCCAGCTCTTTGTGGGTCAAGTCAAATTCTTTTATTTTCTCGAATAGACAATAAACAAATAGAAGTGAACCAGTTATTCACAGCTTTACCTGAAAATGATCTTAAAATATAGAAAGTTTGATCATGAGAGCTGAATTCCCTACAGTTCCAAATATACTCTTTCCTGGCTATCATCCCCAAAAGATTTGATTTTGCCTTTCCAGCCCAAGTTTTACTTCCCTTGTGTGTACTATTTGATAAAGCGCCAGCAAATGTACTTGTAGGAGATCAGCAATACACGAAAGATTATTTTCTTGCTGTGTTAGTTGGATTCTTAAGCTGCTTGTGGCTTTTTTGATGTTGAAGTAGATTTTATTCTACTGTCTGTCTGGGATATATCACTGCTACAGCCGGAGTGCCAGAAGTTATGTGCTCAGATGAGGCTAAAGCGTAATTATGATTGTAGGTATAAGGAGTTTTATCTGATGCTCTCCCTCTGGTTAGGCTTATTATTTCTGGAAGAAAATCTAACCAAATTCATTACTGATGTAGCAATATTTCACATACACTTAACATATCTGAAGGACTTTAATTTTAAGCATAAAACCCAAATACTAAGCGCTTTTCATTTGACAGGCCCCCAGATAAGTAGAGGGTACCAAGGAATCCAGTAGTGTTTGCTCAGATGCCAGCACTGAAGCCCTGGCTGAGTACAGCCTGACGCAGCGTGGCAGCTTTGTGCCAGCCTTGGGAGCAGAGCTTGGGAATTTCTGCAGTCCAGACAAGTCCATTAACTGCTGCTGACGCTCAGAAGCCCTCAGCTAATACTGCTTTCCTAAACAATTATTTACTTTGAGCTATTGCACTCTGTTGTATTTTTCTGAGAGAGCACTTAGGATGCAGTGATTAGGGGCTATGTTCTCTGCTCCCTTGTAAGGTGAGGCTCAGGGAGATGGATAAATGGAACTGACTGATTGCAGAACAATAATCTCCTCAGCTCCTCTGGCCTTTCTGAGAAGGAAGGAAGGAAAGGTTTACTTACCTCATTTACACTTCCCTCTTTAACCTTCCCATGTAATTGCAAATAGCTGCAATACATCAAAAGTCACAGGTGCTGGTGCAAGCAGCAGCTCAGGTATTAAGCTGAAGGAACATTACATTAGCTTTTTAGCCAATTAACATGGCTCTAGGGGGGACCATCTGGAATAAATCTGTGAAGCAAACAGTTCACAGAAACCCAGCAGGCAGCTCTAGAGATTGTTGTATTTGTACTGTACTTCATTAGAAAATAAACATCTATCTTCTATCTTGAGCACGAAGCAAAACAGTATTAAAGCAGACCTCTGATAGTTAATACAACTGTCTCTACTAAATGACACACTTGTAAGAATTGTGTGAATCACTGCAAGTAAAAGGTTGTAGAAACTCTAGTGACTGTAATTATTTGTTGGCACAGCCAAAACAACTCCTCATGACTTAATGTAGAGCTGCATTATTTTCTTATTTTGTGGTTGCAAAAGCCTGCTTTGATAACATTACTAATATCAGCTAGTGATTCAGTATGCAGAGAGGGAGCAAATCATGCAGCAGCAAACTGGAATAAACCAGTCAGCTTTAGCCTGCTTCTGGAACTTCATGCTTTGCTGTGTTTATATTTTTCTCCATTAGAGACCCACAGCAGGAGCCGTAAAATTCGTCATCACTAGATTTATTCCTGACAAGGGTTTGTTGAACACACAAGGCTATAGCATAGAAATGTTGGACCAAGCTACTAGAGCTTCGATGCTTCAAGGATTAACTATCCACCTTCCTTGGGATCCTCCTTAGGGACATTTCTCTGTTCAGAGGATGACAGAAGATGTAAAGTCAGAATTACTGAGATGGACAAACTCCATCTCTGAGGCCATGACAGCAAGAAGTGCAGCAAAGTTTCATGCACCAAACCCCAAACAATGCAGCTCTGCTGATGGACACCACTACAAGGACTGGGGTATGGGCTAATGGAGCTCCCAAACCTCAACCTGGCCATGGGAGCAAACCGAGGACTTCACAGAACTCTTGCTTGGTAAGGCTCCCAGGTGAGCCACAGCAAACCACAGGGAACGTGTTTATCATCCAGCTGAGGAATCAGCGGTAAGTGTACCAGCACAATCAACTAATATGCGGCTCAAGGGAAACACATATTTTCTGTCAGAACAAATGGCTTTTCTGCAACTAATTTGCATAAGCATACAGGGAAACAGACTACTTGTCAAGAAAGCACCTTCTATCTGAAAATGGGTGTTTTCAGACAAAACAAATTTTCCTGTTTTCTGTACCAGAAAACCTCAGCAATTAGTGTAATAATAATCGCAATAACATAATTAGTTACAGAGCATTCAAACAAACTTCCATCTGCCAAGTGTTGTTCAACTATGCAACTAATGGAAGTAGGTATGAGTGCAGGATTAAATCTGATCACTTTTAGCTGGCTTAATGCCACTTGATCTTTTCTCCAGATAAATAAATAAATAAAAAGGCTAACATGGCTAGGAAGCAGAATACCATACTTAGCATGGTTCTCCCTAATTAGCCCTGCTAAGAAAAAACATAATCAGGTGGTGCAGAGCACCACACTTCTGCAGCTAGCCAGCTCCGCACGTTTAGTTCAGGTATCTGGATGCAGTAGCACATTGTGCTCTGGAGGCATACCACACACTGCAATTATGTTTATCAGACTGCTCACACTGTAATTCATTAGGAAGCTATTCTCAAAACTAGTTCTTTCAGTTATATACAGTGATGACAATTAAAATGTTGGCATTTGTCAACAGTTACTTCACCGCAGGCACTACCTAACAAGCCACAGTCTTCTGTGTACATGGAACTGAAATAACCATGGTAACTCTGGGTATACAGTGACATTTTAATGACCACTACCGCTTATCCTCAGGCCATCACTTGCAGAACTAAATGGCCCATCAAGAAGCAGATGAATAAAGTGGCATCTATACAATGCATGAAAAATGCTAAGCACTTTTAGGGATTAAAGACATTTATATCTACCTCAGAAGGGAAAAAAAAGAGAGATAAACATAACACAAAGCATGTATTATGAAGAAATAATGAAACTACCACATGCTACTGCAGCAACTGCCACTAAATGTCAGTATCCACCAATAGCTTGCACAAATTGGTATCTAAGATACCAAAATTATTTCCTATTTTAAGTATAAGTGCCTCTTACTACATACTGACTTTATAAATGGCAGCAGCAGTATCAAAGGCAGCAGTATCATGCTCAGTCACTGCCAAACTGCAGTAGAAAGACTATTAGTAACAAAACACAGCAATTCTCAAGTAAAAAGAAGATGCAATACAGTAGTTTATTAGCACTTACAATCTTGACTTGTTTTTAAAGAAAAAGATGGTAGAATACTCTTTATTTTTTATTTTTTCATCATCATGATAAAAAGTCTGGTTTGTTAAAGTATTCAAGAATTACATTATTCTCTCCATGGTGAGGAAGAGGATTTGAGTGTATATAATGTATCTGTAAAACTGTCTTTTACTTAGAAGTTTCACTTACCAAAATGAAGAGACAACCAGAGGCAAGTTTTGTGTGTTCAGGAATAGTGGAAAACACGGACAAAATCAAGCAACCAAACACAAGGAGAAAACTGAAAAAGAAAGAATATTAATAATTGTTAATATTTTTCAGAACCCTGACCTAGTATTTATATAAATCCTACTTCACCAACATTAATAGAAGACTGTCAATTAACAGTCTTTTTTAACAAAAGGGAATTCAGTTACTAAAGACATCTGAACTGCCTCTTCATGATTCTAAAGACTTTTGTGCAGCACCAGTAGAGTTAATGTAAACAAACATAAGAATCAAGATTTTCTTGGTGAAATGACCAACATACACTGACACTACTTTTGGTTTCCTAGCCCTGTGCATTTATCCAGTCCAGCTACTCTTAGTGGCTCGAAAGCAAGATCAATAATGGGAGAGTTCTCTCATTAGTCTGAAGGATCTCCAACAGTGGATCACAGATGTCTTCTGTATATGATTATCTAAGAGCTAAGATACATATTGCATCTAACTGCTATGACATTTCAACAGAGTTCATGTACAAACTAACAGAATTTCAAAGGCAGCTGGGCTGTGGCATCACTGCCCTAAATGACTAGCTTCCGTTCAGAGAACAAACTCTGTATCATACAATCAGTGGAAGAAGTTAAAGCATAGGAGTGAGTCAAGAGGGTTTTACACAGGTAATCACAACTGGGAAAACATGACCACAGTTTTGAACTTGCACTCTTCATGGTTCTGACAAATGCATGCAGGAGAAGCAAAGCACCAACACACTGCCAAATCTCTATACTGACACCCCATATCACTGTAGAAATTCTTGTGCCTGTTTCTTGCAGCATATAGCACACATGTAGTGTTTACAGACATGAGCCTGAAGAACTGGTATTTTCCTGAAGCCTGTACCATGGATGACAAGGAATATCCCTTCCTACAGGACTGCTTTGCTGATAACAATGCCACTGTGCTGGTGAAAACTGTTTTCTATGAAACGGATCAGAAGAAAAGTTCACTTCACCCACAGTACCATGAACTGCATAAGTAGCACATTGGAAGTTACCATTCAGCGTGCAAAGAACGTAATGCATGTTCTATATCCTAAATTCTAGCATTTGCACTGTGTTTTGCAAGTAGTAATAACTGACTCTATCAATGTTTCACTACTTTCCTCATTAAAATACTTGTCAATCATTCTGGGCAATCAATCAACTGAAAAAAAAGACAGGCCTTTGGCTTCTGTCTGAATTGCTGGGACTCTTGCTCTAACCCAGCAGGAATGTGTATTTCAATTAATACAGGGATATATCTGCAGGAAAGTATGAATGGCTCCTTCCTGATGGAAAAAGGACTGAAATCTCTTCCAGAAACATGAGAGAGAGATGGACAAACTGAAGTGAGGCTAGTGGAGAGCCATCAAGGTGGTCAGGGTCTTGAGCTCAAACGCTCATGAGGGTCTGAGCAAAGCTGGATTTTCCCAGCCTGAACAAGAGGAGGCTAAGAATTCTGACTGTCAACTATCCAATTTTGGTTACAGAAAAGGCAGAGAGGACACAATTTGCAGGAAGGAAAATTATGATTAGTTATAAGGAAAAAAATAATCGCAATGAAGCTGGCTGAGCAGTGAACTAGTTGACCAACAAGGCAATATCTGTCCCTGGAGATTTTCAGAACTCAGCTGGGAAAGGCCTTGATATGACTTTGAAATTAGCTCTACATGACCTGAAGAAGCCCTTTCCAACCTAAATTATTCTTTGATTCTAACTACTGGATATAAACATTAATACATTATTGCATCTGCCCACACGTGCTTCAGGAGCTAAAATTGCTCTTCCCCTTATACTGACTTTCCATTATGCAGCAGTGCAGTAATATATGTAGTACATTAGACAAAAAATGTAAGTCAATTTCTTTGGAATTTCTCTTAGAATATCTAACGTGCAATGCAATAACATGTTGGAGGCATATGCACATCACTTAACTGCAGGGAAGAAGTTCTGTTCTGAAAATCAAATCTGATAGGAGTTTGTGTATAAACTCTATCAAGAGCTGTAAATAAAATGGTGGTTTCATGGTATGCAGGAGGGTAAAGCAGTCTCTGTCACACACCATTGGCAAATCTATCTTCAAGCCTAAAGGATAATGATCAGCAGATATTTGCTTAAAGGTTTCACGAAAGACCGATCCAATTCACAAATATCCACCTTGTGAGCAAGATTGCTTCCCTTTCCCCCACCTTTGTTTTTTAAGGAAAGTCTCCCAGAACATTGCTGGTAGTTTCAGCTTCTGCAGTCTTCAGATACAAACCCCCTCTAATTACATCCTACTGGCATAGTCATAAATGTGGTTTCTTCTAGTTAAGGCTTGCACAGAGGGCAAAATAAAATTAAGAAGTGACTAAGAATTTACAATAAAAGGTTGTCATTTCCTTTTGCTGGATTTCTTTAGTCCTGAATCAGTTAAAATTACATTTTCTTGCATTCTTTGTTCTTAGGTATAAAAATTTGCTCTTGTTTAAGTTGTATTCCAGTAATACCAACTAAATTCGAGGCCCAGTTGTACTGGGTCTTGTCCAAACACACAATACAAGTTTTCACTTGGAAGAGATCTCTTGTAGCATAATTATAGAAAACAGACGCAGTAGGAAAAAGAAAGTTTGTTGTTCTCATATCACAGCTGGAGACCACGGCATGGAAAAGGTAAGGGACTTGCCTGAGGCTATATGGAAAGTCTCTGGCAGAACTGTGAGATAAACCTGGACCTTTTAAGTCCCAGCCCAGTCCTGCAGTCACAAAACCATCCTCTATGAACCCAGCACATGTGATGAATTACCACAGTTCCTAAGGACTGTGATTTAGAAGATCAGTGTTGGCAAAGTATTAATTCATGGTAAGAGTGGAAACGTGAGTCAAGAGAGGGAACCAGTACAGTTAAGCAGTATATTAATCACAAGTAAATATTCAGGAAAGCCAGGTGCACAGTTTAGATTAGCACCTGGTAGACAATAGTTCTGCAGATAATCCATGAAAAGCAGACACCATCCCCACAGCAGTACATAAGAATGGTCTTGGAAAGATATTTTTCCAAACCTCTATAACCTTTTGTTCTCATTTTTTCCAGAAGCTCTACAAAAAAAAAAAAAAATAAAATAAAAAAAATGGAGCATTGTTATTAATTATTATTAAAGAACAAAAGGAAAATATTTGCATTTATCCACCCACACACTTGAATCTTGCCCCTCTATCCCTCATTCCTCCCTCCAACACCGAACACTTTTTTTCCTGCCATTCAGCATATCTAAAATTAGACTATAAGAACTTCTGGGTAGGGAAGAAACCCAGTCCTGTTAGCTTTGCAAAACTAAAAGCATACTTTTAGGTGCTGTAAAACACCTAAAGAAAGTGTCAAAAGTGCAAAGAAAGTGTCAAAAGATTAAGTGTTCTGGAACATTTTATGTAGTTTATTTGCCACTGACTTGCTTTCCTTCCTTCGAAGTAAACCAGTTGGGAGTCACTTCCAACCTTTCTACTTTTTACTGATTGCTCAGCCTATGGAAGGAAAGCCTCTCTGTTTCCACAGCAAGAGCTGAAGGCATGGAGGACACAGCAATGCCTTTCACCTGGCTGGACATCAACAAGGGTCTGTCCAGTAAAAATAAAACCTGAAGGTTCAAAGGCCTGCTGGTCAAAGCTTATCAGAAGTTGTACTTTTCTATCACAAACTCTTTTTCCATAGACAGATGACGTGCAGAGGTTTGTATTAAGCCCTGGATAGTCGACTTATACCCCCCATAACAGAGGAAAAAGTATTTTCAAATGCCAGCATTGGAACTGTGTGCTGTGATACATGCTATACAAGGGGATGCTGCCGTAGGTACAGAGTGGTGCAAAGCAAAACACAAAGCAATTATATTTGGCCTCTAGTGGTTCAATCTGGATCATATATTTGTTCATGCTGAAAAAAACAGATGGTCTTTCCTCATGCATTTAGTATCAGACAGTAAAACATATGCCTTAGGCAGCAAGTTCCCATAAAATTATTCAAGCACTGCCACAGTCATGTATTTTATCAAAAGCAGCAGCTTCCATTTTGTTTCAGCAGTAATCAATTTTGATGCAGATCCTTTCATCTTCTTCCCTGGCTTCTGAAAGCATACACTAATTGGAGAAAAGCCAATTTATGAAAGATAATATAACTCAGAAGCTTTGATATTTATTCAATCCGCCTCTCATAAACTTTTCTTACTGGTTAATTAGGAACTACCAATTCTCCATTTATTTAATTTTCAACAGAGTTTTACTATAGTTTGTGATTTAAGGGATGTTCATATGGCAGAGGATGTTCAGCTTAAAAAATTGTTCAAACACTACTCAGGGAACATTGTAAGCATAAAAAATATACTCAGCGAAGACCTTTAAAAGCTATTTTGCTACATTATTTACTGCTAGAATTAAAATAATCAAAAGTTAAACATCTGAAAACAGTTTTATGACCTCTTCTGCAAATAATAAAAGTGTATCACTGTTGAAGTGACATAATTAAGCAATTAGACCACCAGAGTTATGTTCCAGTATTATTTGAGGTGTAATTTAATGCCCATAAAAACAAGGATATTCAGGATTATGGCCAAAACTTGTTTGTAAACCACTGTCAGTGCCATTGTCCTGGATTTTGTATGGAAGGTGAAAAATATTTGAAAGCTTTTTCTAACCTTAACTGTAACCAACAAGTAGCTCTTACTTTTCACCCAGGTACAAAGTCAGAATTAAGGCAATTACTTGCAAATTTACAGAAAGTTGTTTATATTCACAAGGTTTGAGTTTACAGAGGACCTAACAGAGCTGCCCCCAAATCAGTAATTCCTTCTGATAGCTAGCATCCAGGCGTTTTCTTAGCACCAACTACCCAAGTATGACCTTTAAATGATTTTTTTTTTTTTTTATAATTCTCAAATGTGTAAAACATGTGAGACATTAGATAAGCAAATGTCCTGAAGATTATCCTGGATGTATAGCACCTGTTGGAGGTTCAGATAAATGGATGCAATACACAGAGAAAAACCAAGAAAGGAAGGAAACAAACAAA